GCTGAGCCTTTCCCCCTGCCTTTCCCCCCTCTGCCTCCATCTTCTTCAGTGCCCTTCCTGCCCTTGTTATAATGATGATGCCACTTCTCTTCCAATTTAGCGCTCATTTAGAAGTCGCTGCTGCCCTCAAACCTTAGACCAGTGATGGGCCACACAACAGATTATGAATCTTTCATAATCTGAGACAAAAAACCATTGTTATTATGAAGTATTCTGTTAAACTGATTTGAAAACCATTGCAATAGTTTCACCTATAATATTGATATCAAAGGGAGCATAAATAAAAGGGCTTCTGTTGCTTCCCTTGTTTTCACTGTGAACAACAGTGGGACAAGTGAAGTCAGCAGCTACTGTGCTCTTTAGAGGATGCCCAAAGGCAAGTTTAAAGTGTTGCTCATTAAGTGTGAGCATTAAGTAGACTTACAGCATCAGGAATCTCTTCACTTTCACATCCAAAGTGACAGCAAATGGCAAGCTAGCAGCCACACTGCTCTGCTCCCTAAAACAATCATTGATCTGGTGCATCTCTGTATTATACTGTATTTATCTGGTCATGTGGGATAGCATGGTTCTTTACAACAGTAATAACGCAGCACCAGGATGCCACTTACTGCTGCAGCAAACTGTATCAAGCTTTAGCAGATTACCAGGCTTCCTGGGCCAAATAGCACCTAAATATTCGTCTACCCGGGGAATTAGGCATCTGTTCACTTTATCTACTATAACTGATAGCCTCTTTGTTACACGGTTCATTCTCTTGGCAATTGACCTTCAGAATAAACGTGAAATACAAACCTTGGAGCATGTAAGGAGCCTCTAAAATCTATCAAATCACTTGGTAAAATCCATCACTTTTGGCTGAGACAAAGTACTTCCTAATTTAAGGCTGACATTTATACGTTACTCAAAAATAGCTAAACATGAATGCTGAAAACAGGAAAGAAGCTAGAAGCATCAGAATTAGTAGTTAAACTTTTACAGCACTTAATTCTAAAAGTTAGGCTAGTGGCATGAGATTCTAAAATCTGTAAGAACAGAAAATTTATGGCTTTGCAAAAGACCTTTAGAAAGCTATGTTCATGCGTAGCTGGAGCATTAAAATGTTTTATGGAGAAGTTTTGAAGAAGAGTGCTTCCATTTCATTGGCACTTGCTTAAAACTGCAATATTTCACATAAGAGTCTAATGTGGAACTGAGAAAGCTTATTTTACACATTTAAGTATGTGCCAACTTTGACAGTATTCAGATCTCAACACTTGTGTAACGTAGTGCCCCTGTAAGCAGAAAACATCTGTCAAGTAGAGCTGGTGAAAACAAAAGTTACTCCGGGTGTTTTTTGATGAAATTATGTCTGTGTTAGCAAGTAGTACTATGTGAACACACCACTGAGACTGGATCAGCTGGTACTGAGGACCAGACCTTCTCCACACTGTATGAATCTTGCTGGGTTTTGCTTTGGACTGGCCAATTACACGCACTCCAAGTGCATCTCTCAGTTGATGTTCAGTCCAGTTCATGCACTCTCAGACTGGTCCGTCGTGTGACATGCACCCAGAGGCTGCATCGCAGTGCGAGCCACGTGTTGGTGGGAATGGATACTCAGTTTCACTTTGGAAGTACACTTCTGAACTGAATTACAGTGTTTATACAGATTCTGTGCCTCTCTGAGCACCAACAGCTGAAGAATAAGGTGTCAGAAACACTGCAGCTGTTAAGTAGCATGCCTGCAGCAAAGGTTTCTTCCTAATCTCCATCATTTATCATTGATAGAGAGACTGAAATCTCTGATGTGTTTTGAAGTCTTCCCTTCTTCCCTTCCTTCTTCCCTCTGAAGGTGACGGAGCACTGGAACAGGCTGCCCAGGGAGGTTGTGGAGTCTCCTCCTCTGGAGATATTCAAGCCCCGCCTGGACAAGGTCCTGTGCAGCCTGCTGTAGGTGACCCTGCTTCGGCAGGAGGGTTGGATTAGATGACCCACAGAGGTCCCTTCCGACCCCTACGATTCTGTGATTCTGTGATTCTGAAGAGGATACAAAACTGCTGTATTTTGCAGTTTGTGGGTAGAATGGAGAACAGCTTCCATCCAGAGCAATCCACGATTCCTTTCTTTATACATTTTCTAAAAGCTTGACTCAGCCCTTGGCTCCTTTCTCAGAAGAATATTTTCCCGTTGTATTCAGATTTGTATCGCCTAAAAAGGAAGCCATTGCCTGCTCCGTACCAGGAATGTATTTAAACTAGCAAAAGTTTTCCTGTCCTTTGCTTTGTGGCTCGGGCATGATAACTGTAGAAGCAAATGTAGTTACTATAAAGCATTGCCATATACCATCTGTTTGTGAGGACCTGTATCCTGGAGGATGTTGTGTCAGTGATTACCCGGCTCACCTCAAACCGCTGTCCTCAGAGGTTAGAAATCAGCTGGCTGACTAACTACTGCAGCAGTTCAGGATCATTCATACCCTTTCTTTTGTTAGCTGAGGACTGAAGTGAGTCATATTTAGTGAACAATACTTGTCCTTCAGTAAAAAATGACATTGGGGGAAGCAAAATGTTAATGTGTGTGTTCGTGAGCCACGCGTCGGAGCGGGCTCTGGAGAAGCAGCCCGGCAGCCTTGGCCTGGGTGGGAGGCCTGGCGGGGCGGGGGGGAGCGGCACGGGCCCGCTCACCTCCGTGGCTGCCACAGGTCATCAGTGACAAAAAATACAAATTCTCCAACAACAAAACTGGTTAATACCAGGCTTTCACTTTTAAAGTCACTATAAATGGAGTCGTGTTACCATGAGTGGGCCTAAGAAATGCAGGGCAAGTCCCAGCAGCCCTGGAGAGGGACTGAGGCTGGGCTGAAGGTTTCAGAGAAGACACGAACTTGTCTGGCAATGGCAGCTCCCCTTGTAGTAAACTGAGCACAGCTGTTCACAGATGCTTGCTCGAGGGCAGAGGGGGAAAGCCTCCCCATACACACCACAGGGCGTTACTCTCCACACTACTTCGGTTTTATGGTTTACTGAAAAAAAGTGAACAGATTCTGCGAGGGCAATTCGGAGTGCTTCAGCTTCGCACCGCTGTTCCTCACCGAGCGGCCGGCTGGCTGTCACCTAGCGCAGGTACGTCCCGCTGGCGCTGGGCCAGAAGACTGGTCCAAAACAGAGAGCTCTCCTTGAGACGCTTTGATATAGATAACCACCTTTTGACCCATGCTAACATTCAGAGAATCTCAAAGCAATTTTATATTGCGCGTGCTTTCCAGAAGCACATCAAGAGGTATTTAAGGAAATTAAAGTACTTGAGGCATTAAGGA